ACCTCGGACAGGAGATGGGAGTGTAGAGTCAAGGAGGGAATATAGGTACAGGAGAAGATTCTGGCCTGGAGGAGGGCTGTAGGCAAGGGTACAAGGTCTGGGGGCTGAGGGGAAGTGGGATACAGGGGTGACCTGTGGATGGGGAAGAGGCTGTGGGGTAATGGGAACAGGCAGGTGGGTTGGAGACAATGGGGTGAGGGGAAGGGAGAGGTACAGGGAGGTGATCTGTGGGAGTGGGGAGATGGGAGGAGAGGAGGGGTGGGATACAGGGAAATTGGGGATGATGGTGGTGGACAGGGAAAGGAAGGGGGCAGGGTGGGGGATGGGGAACAGGCAGGTTGGAGGAGCTATAGGGGAGCAGGGGGCTGTGGGACTAGAGAAGAGGGGTGGGGTTGAGAGGCGAGCGGGGCTATAGGAGCTATAGGGGAGCAGGGGGCTGTGGGACTAGAGAAGAGGGGTGGGGTTGAGAGGCGAGCGGGGCTATAGGAGCTATAGGGGAGCAGGGGGCTGTGGGACTAGAGAAGAGGGGTGGGGTTGAGAGGCGAGCGGGGCTATAGGAGCTATAGGGGAGCAGGGGGCTGTGGGACTAGAGAAGAGGGGTGGGGTTGAGAGGCGAGCGGGGCTATAGGAGCTATAGGGGAGCAGGGGGCTGTGGGACTAGAGAAGAGGGGTGGGGTTGAGAGGCGAGCGGGGCTATAGGAGCTATAGGGGAGCAGGGGGCTGTGGGACTAGAGAAGAGGGGTGGGGTTGAGAGGCGAGCGGGGCTATAGGAGCTATAGGGGAGCAGGGGGCTGTGGGACTAGAGAAGAGGGGTGGGGTTGAGAGGCGAGCGGGGCTATAGGAGCTATAGGGGAGCAGGGGGCTGTGGGACTAGAGAAGAGGGGTGGGGTTGAGAGGCGAGCGGGGCTATAGGAGCTATAGGGGAGCAGGGGGCTGTGGGACTAGAGAAGAGGGGTGGGGTTGAGAGGCGAGCGGGGCTATAGGAGCTATAGGGGAGCAGGGGGCTGTGGGACTAGAGAAGAGGGGTGGGGTTGAGAGGCGAGCGGGGCTATAGGAGCTATAGGGGAGCAGGGGGCTGTGGGACTAGAGAAGAGGGGTGGGGTTGAGAGGCGAGCGGGGCTATAGGAGCTATAGGGGAGCAGGGGGCTGTGGGACTAGAGAAGAGGGGTGGGGTTGAGAGGCGAGCGGGGCTATAGGAGCTATAGGGGAGCAGGGGGCTGTGGGACTAGAGAAGAGGGGTGGGGTTGAGAGGCGAGCGGGGCTATAGGAGCTATAGGGGAGCAGGGGGCTGTGGGACTAGAGAAGAGGGGTGGGGTTGAGAGGCGAGCGGGGCTATAGGAGCTATAGGGGAGCAGGGGGCTGTGGGACTAGAGAAGAGGGGTGGGGTTGAGAGGCGAGCGGGGCTATAGGAGCTATAGGGGAGCAGGGGGCTGTGGGACTAGAGAAGAGGGGTGGGGTTGAGAGGCGAGCGGGGCTATAGGAGCTATAGGGGAGCAGGGGGCTGTGGGACTAGAGAAGAGGGGTGGGGTTGAGAGGCGAGCGGGGCTATAGGAGCTATAGGGGAGCAGGGGGCTGTGGGACTAGAGAAGAGGGGTGGGGTTGAGAGGCGAGCGGGGCTATAGGAGCTATAGGGGAGCAGGGGGCTGTGGGACTAGAGAAGAGGGGTGGGGTTGAGAGGCGAGCGGGGCTATAGGAGCTATAGGGGAGCAGGGGGCTGTGGGACTAGAGAAGAGGGGTGGGGTTGAGAGGCGAGCGGGGCTATAGGAGCTATAGGGGAGCAGGGGGCTGTGGGACTAGAGAAGAGGGGTGGGGTTGAGAGGCGAGCGGGGCTATAGGAGCTATAGGGGAGCAGGGGGCTGTGGGACTAGAGAAGAGGGGTGGGGTTGAGAGGCGAGCGGGGCTATAGGAGCTATAGGGGAGCAGGGGGCTGTGGGACTAGAGAAGAGGGGTGGGGTTGAGAGGCGAGCGGGGCTATAGGAGCTATAGGGGAGCAGGGGGCTGTGGGACTAGAGAAGAGGGGTGGGGTTGAGAGGCGAGCGGGGCTATAGGAGCTATAGGGGAGCAGGGGGCTGTGGGACTAGAGAAGAGGGGTGGGGTTGAGAGGCGAGCGGGGCTATAGGAGCTATAGGGGAGCAGGGGGCTGTGGGACTAGAGAAGAGGGGTGGGGTTGAGAGGCGAGCGGGGCTATAGGAGCTATAGGGGAGCAGGGGGCTGTGGGACTAGAGAAGAGGGGTGGGGTTGAGAGGCGAGCGGGGCTATAGGAGCTATAGGGGAGCAGGGGGCTGTGGGACTAGAGAAGAGGGGTGGGGTTGAGAGGCGAGCGGGGCTATAGGAGCTATAGGGGAGCAGGGGGCTGTGGGACTAGAGAAGAGGGGTGGGGTTGAGAGGCGAGCGGGGCTATAGGAGCTATAGGGGAGCAGGGGGCTGTGGGACTAGAGAAGAGGGGTGGGGTTGAGAGGCGAGCGGGGCTATAGGAGCTATAGGGGAGCAGGGGGCTGTGGGACTAGAGAAGAGGGGTGGGGTTGAGAGGCGAGCGGGGCTATAGGAGCTATAGGGGAGCAGGGGGCTGTGGGACTAGAGAAGAGGGGTGGGGTTGAGAGGCGAGCGGGGCTATAGGAGCTATAGGGGAGCAGGGGGCTGTGGGACTAGAGAAGAGGGGTGGGGTTGAGAGGCGAGCGGGGCTATAGGAGCTATAGGGGAGCAGGGGGCTGTGGGACTAGAGAAGAGGGGTGGGGTTGAGAGGCGAGCGGGGCTATAGGAGCTATAGGGGAGCAGGGGGCTGTGGGACTAGAGAAGGGGGGTGGGGTTGAGAGGCGAGCGGGGCTATAGGAGCTATAGGGGAGCAGGGGGCTGTGGGACTAGAGAAGGGGGGTGGGGTTGAGAGGCGAGCGGGGCTATAGGAGCTATAGGGGAGCAGGGGGCTGTGGGACTAGAGAAGAGGGGTGGGGTTGAGAGGCGAGCGGGGCTATAGGAGCTATAGGGGAGCAGGAGGCTGTGGAGTAAGCTGAGAGAACAGCGAGGGGCAGGAGACTTGGTTTGGGATGGGGGTTACTGCCTATGGGGACTCTAGGGGGAGAACAAGGGGGATGGGGTCGGGGGGGGCTCTGGGTGTGTGAGGTCACAGGAGAAGAACAGGGGGTGGGGGCTGTGTGAGTGAAAATGTGCTATGGGGCACAGAGGAGAAGGGGGGAGAACAGGCTATGGGGTGGAGTAGGAGAAGGGGTCTGCGGGTTGTACAGGGCAGAGCAGGCGATCTATGGTGATTAGAGAGGAGTGCAAGGAGGCAGGGTGTGCCCAGCAGAAGAGGATGGAGGTGCAGGTGGCCCTAGGATGGGGTGTAGGA